GCAGTGCGGCACCGCTGCCAAAATCATAGGCTATGGAATATATAAAATTATGAAATAACATGTGTACTGTAGTGTAAAAGATGCATGGATTCATGCAGATTCTTACATGCTCATCATAGATGGACGAATACATCATCATCAATCATCCATTCTCATAATCAGTAATCAATTATTATCATCACATCGATAAGAATCAATATTTTCGATGCATGTGTTGTCTATAATGGATTGAATTGTCCCCCACAGTCACAAGTGGCCGCTACAATCTCCAGAATGTTCAAAAAAATTATTGAGTCGTGGCTGAATTGCGACGCGTTAATTAAAACACGTCTCTCTACTCAAGTGGGGTGACGCTCATCCACATTCTTTTGGCGGGGTTCAGTCTATCCATAACAAGCACAGTTTACTTGGCACATATGAAACTACATCAATACTTTAATAAACTAAATTAACGCAGTGTACCTATATATTCTGTTTGAGAGGAGGCCTGATGGCTCTTTGGGACATTCTGTTTACAGGAAGTCCACCCACACAGATTCCTACTTGAAGCCTGATTCCCACCACCACCCAGCTCAAAAGAATCCCCTCTTTAAAACACTATACCATAGGGCTCATTGCATCTCTGACCAACACCACCTGGCCAGTGAATTAAAACATGTACAACCTGGCCCTCAAGATGAACGGATACTCTGACCGTACTATCCACCAAGCTGTTTCTCCCACCATACAGAAACAACCACCTGATAAATTTTGATTTAAAGCTTTCTTATATATAAAAGTCTCCGCTCGCTCGCGCTTGTGGGGGATTTGGCTCTCGGACGGTGGCGTTTACGACCAAAAACATTTGCCAGGCACGACGCCCTAAGCAACGCGGTGGGAATAGGCTATTCCGTTTTGTCATCCGTAAACTTTAAAGCGGTTTAATTAACACATTTGTGGCATTCTTTTTTTCATTATTTACTTATTGCGCGACATCGACCGTACCAACTGACGACAATTGCCTGGGGGGGGGGGGGGGGGCAGACCCTGTCAAGTGATGCGCCTTCGGTCCAGCTCACGGGGGACATTTCATTTTACTCATTTAACATGCAATAAATATACACATCACGCTGCGGAGTTTTCACCACAGTCTGATGTCCTCTTCGCCCCCCCCCCCAACACGATGCGTCCAGTTTCTACTACAGAGTCCGTAGATAATAATATTATAGTGCTTAGATAACATTATTCTTGCACGGGCGGGGGAATGGCTGTGGGGGTAGTGGCCCAGCCCCCAGCCTGCCAACGTGCCACCTCCCCTGCCACCTCCACTGCCTCTGCAATGTAGGCGAGGACGGGGGCTCCGCACGGGCTTAGGTTTGACCAAGCCTCTGGTAAGTACAAATGTCCTTGCTTCTTACGCTATTAAACAAATAAGTTGACAAATATTACAATAATAATGTTTGTGTGCAGATAATAACTCAGGTTCATTGCTTACTCTTATTAAACAATACGTTCCCAAATATTACAATAATAATATTTGTGTGCACATAAGAACTCTGGTTCATTGTTTACTATTTTGAAACTAATTGGTTGCCAGATATTGCAATAATTATGTTTGTGTGCAGATAATAACTCTGCTTCATTGCTTACTATTATGAAACAAATACGCTGCCAGATATTACAATAATAATCTTTGTGTGCACATAGCAACTCTGGTTCATTACTTACTATTAAGAAACTAATAAGTTGGCAGATATTACAAACAATTGTTGTGTGCAGATAACAACTCACCTTCATTGTTTACTATTATTAAACTAATAAGTTGGCAGATATTACAATAATAATCTTTGTGTGCAGATAAGAACTCAGGTTCATTGTTTACTATCATGAAACAAATACGTTGTCAGATATTACAATAATAATCTTTGTGTGCACAACACTACTTTTTGATGATTAGGTTGATAAATATTCCCTTTTTTAGCTGTGCTTTTATCATGCTGCGGCGGTCTACTGCCAGTCTGTCATGTGGCCTGCTGCCTGCTGATTAATTACCGTCTATTACCTACACTGCTAATTTTCCTTTTGACCATTCTCAGTGTATGCCAGTCTATACTCTGTTGCCTGCTTCTTTACCTCACTCAGTGTACTGCCAGCCTTTCATGTCGACTGTACTCTGCTTTTTCAGCTGCTGCCTGTATTGCCAGCTTTTAATGTCGACTGTCGCAATGCTTATGTCATTGAGTCGGCGTACTGCCAGTCTATAATCTAGACTGTAGCCTGCTTCTCAACTTACCTGTGCGTACTGCTGCTCTTTAATTTACACTTATTTCTGCTTATTTCTTCAATGCATTTCTATTGTTTCGATTGCTCACGTCACGCTATTTACTCAAACGTAGTACTGCGATACTGATAGCTGTGCCATCATTGGGGATTGCTGTGCACGTCGATGTGTATGTGTCAGTCCATATGTGTGTTTGTTAGTCCACATGTGTGTGTAAGTCCATACATTTGTGTGTGTGTGTCACTCGATTTGTGTGTGTGTAAGTCAATGCGTGTGTGAGTCGATATGTGTGTGTTAATCCATGTGTGTGTATCTAAAGTAGATGTCTGTGTGACACAGTCAATATGTGTATGTGTGTGTGTAGGGCAATGTGTGTGTCAGTCTATGTATGTGTGTGTAAGTCCATGTGTGTGTGTCTTAGTCGATATGTGTGTGTAAGTACATATGTGTGTTTACGTCAATGTGTCTGTGAGTCCACGTATATCTGTGTGTGAGTCCATGTGTGTGTGTGTCGCTGTATGTGTCTACATCCATATATGTGTGTGTAACTCCATGTGTGTGTATCTAAAGTGGATGTCTATGCGTGTGTGAGTCCATATGTGTGTGTGTAAGTCCATGTGTTTGTGTGTGCGAGTCGATATGTCTGTGTGTGTCAGTCCATGGGCATGTGTGTTAGTCGCTTTGTGTCCGTGGCTCCATGTGAGTCCGTGTAAGTCCATTTCTTTGCGTGTCTGTAAATCCATGTGTGCGTGTGAGTAAATGTGTGTGCTTTATTGACCTGGTCAAGGCTTATGATACCATCAGTAGGCCTGGCCTCTGGGTTGTTCTTCATACTTTCGGAGTCCCTCACCCTTTGCTCACGATCCTTAAGGACCTTCATGATGGTGAGCGGCCCCGCGTCAAACTACGTGGCCGTCAGTCAGAGCCATTCTCTCTACACCTTGGGGTGTGACAGGGATGTCCTCTGGCTCCCACATTATTTAACATATCTTTTGACTACGTAGTTCGTGAAGCCTTCAATGGCTGTACCAGAGGAATTACCATATGGTACAGATACAATGGGAGGCTGATCGATGCCCGGGTACGGTCAAGGGATGGCTCCCTATTGATCAACCATGTAATGTATGCCGATGCTCTGGTGAATGCTGCTCACTCAGAGGAGGACTTTGAGGCACTGCTGCTGAACCTGGAGCTTGGCACTAAGAGGTGGGGCCTTACCATCAGCTCCATCAAATCTAAGCACCTGGCTGGGTATTTTGTACCATCGGACAATCCACCCCCACAACTCACAATTGCTGATGCAGCAGTTGTGGAGAGATTGGAGAGATTCCCATACCTGGCCAGTGTGCTCATGACCAGCTCCGGTTTAACACCAGAGGTCTCACTCCAAATCAGTCGAGCGGCAATATCTTTTCATCGGCTGCGTTAAGCTGTGTGGAAGCTACCTGGTCTCTCACTCCGCATGAAGCTCCAGGTCTTCTCGGCCACGGTAATTCCCTACCTTCTCTATGCTTGAGAAACGTGCACTCCCCTAATGGAACATCTTCGCCGGTTAGAAACATTTAGGCTGGCCTGCTAACTATCCATCCTGGGTTTAACCAAAAGTGTGTGTGTGCGTCTTAGTCGATGTGTTTCTATGTGTCTGGGTCGATGTCTGTGTGTTCCATGTGTGTGTCTGCCTTTTTCACCCGGGCGACGCCGGGTACCGCTAGTATTATATATATATTTTATTATTTTATTGTTTCCCTTCAACGTGACTTTACCGAAAGAATCAAGAATATGAACCACCTGATACTCCGATCAAAATCATCACGTTACCATACATTGCTGGCGTTACCAAAAAGATTTCCAAAATTCTAATCAAACACAAGATCCAGGTCCGGTTCAATACAGTACAAAAATTCATGATCTGATCCCATCCGTAAAGGATGTCATTCCTGACTTACAGTAGCGATGTCTTTGACATATCTCAGCAACGGTCTTCGCTGTTTGTCCCCACCTGATGACGGACGCTTGTGTTGCGCCCGAAACGTCGTGATTTAATATAGATTTTTTTACCTACGTGACTTTACCGAACAAAACAAAGAGTAATCCTTGCAGTCGCGAAAGCTTCAAATCTGGAAGTGTACCTATAGTTCATTAACATTGATGCATGCGGTGCTGTACGGATTAATTATAGTTGTATTCGTATAACAGGTGTTACCCTATTATCACCAATAGTAATGATTACGCTTTGCCTAGGAAAGCCTGTCTCATGACTTTAAAGTACACATGTCAGACTTCTTCAAAAACGGATCCAACTGGTAGGACGGGCTGCTACCCCCAATTCCATTGTCTACCAATCTCCCAGCGCCACGCGCTACAGTGACTCATTCAATGTCACTACACATGCACACATGTGTAGTCTAGATTCCTAAGTTCAACTCTCTCGTTTATCATTATGGTGGGTCACACCATGGTGTGTTATGCTATGCAATACCATGCATCTACATTTTGACAGTCTTAGAGCTTATTTGGCAATGTCTTCTCCCTTTGCAAATATCTACGGTGCAATATTGGGCAGAATTGCTGTGGCCAGTGGCATAAGCACGGTTGGCTACGTATGGTGCAAACGAAGTTCAACATACATACATAAGGATTTTAATACTATACCTGTCACAAAACAGACCATCATCCTGTTTGGCGAACGTCAATCTCTGCATTTAAGAATAGTTAACACAAACGCCACAAACATTGGGGGTACGTTTTTACATCCATTTAATGAGCTTCCAATTTCCAATCGTGAACCTCACCTGGTAATTGTTTACGTTCGAGCGTGTCAATCAAGACAGCGGTGACAAGAGAGCTTGTGTTCTGGTGTGTCCCATGGCCAATCTCGTTCAAGTTTTCATCAAGGTATGGACTTTTTATTGACAAATTAAGAGTGTTACAGATGTATCGTGATGCATCCCATTCTATTTTATTCTACAGTTTGTCAATGTGAAAAAAACGACTTTCTTTTTTTTTTCAAAATTTCCATCAAAAAGCCCCAAAATGTACAATGATCAGGGCTGCACGGGAGATTTTTTTTTCAAACATGAAAGCCTCGGTGAGATGGTGTTTCTGAAAAGACTACTTAGTGCCTGCACTGTGGCTGCGGACACACACAGCTAACATAAAACAAATTGAAATCCTGGTGCTTTGTGCGACGGAATGAAATGCCGGCGACACATTAACCAGCCTGCCTGCATATTCATTTAACGTCTCCATGGCCCTCCTTTCAATTTGGCACTCGATTCAGTCCAGAATCATTACCCTTAAATCACACATGCCCTGTCCAATTTTCAAATTACGTGAAATCACTCATGCATGCACACCACACTGTTTGGTCGTCACAACAAATATATTGTTTTTAAGCAGAACACAATACGTGGGTGGAAATTCTGGTCGACTGTGGAACTAGTGTGGCTTGTAGTGAGTGTGTCCGTGTTTAAAATCTCCAATGTGGGCCACTCGAGGCGCTTCAGACGTGGGCCGTGCGAATTCCCAGGCAGAGGGCGAGCTCCCACTTCTGTATCTTGCCATCCTGGTTCGTGTCACAGCGGCGGAGCAGTGAGTCACGGAATTTTGATAAGTCCGCCACGGTCAACGATGGCTGCACTCGCAGTACAGTGGGGGGGGGGGGTAAGAGGGGGACGGCATGCACCCGAGTGATTGAAGTTAGTGGCCCACTGCAGGGTGGTTGATGTGGGCCCTCGTGCAAGACATATGGGGTGGCACCTTCTTCACCTTCACCCTCTCCTTGTCGACCAGCACTTGCACCCAGGTGCAGTTGCATCTCCCCCAAACCGAAGACTACGGTAAGTCCTCCTTCACACGCGTTTTCGCTATAACGCAGTTCTTCCATTTGGAACACGCCCGTTTTAATGGAGTTTCTGAGTGGTTGACGACTACTTTCTTTTGCTCCGCAGCTGAGCGGTACGAAATAGTACACAGAATGATACAGTAACGCGGCAACATACCCTCAGTTATTTGTCCCGCTATCTTACTGCGTTAACGTTCATTGTATCTCGCCAAACTTTATCGTTACATTTTTTATGGGGAAATTGTTTTCCCTTAATGCGGCACTTTTAAGAACGAATCTACCACGTTAAACGTGGACTTACTATGCACTTAATTTCTCACTGCGTATTTTCTGGCTGGAGGTCGCTACGACCATTGCCAGTCAAGCGCAAAACCAGTCATGGTAGTCTTAAGACCTTGACTCAATGCCATCGCTGAAGCTGTTACGTACGTTGAGTGGGAGTCGTTGCCACCCCATTGTGATTTTCCCCTCTGAGCCGGACCCAGCCACTGAGGATCCCATTACCGCAGCTGGATTAACCGTGGCAACAGGCCAAGGATGTGACGACCCCTGTGCCCTTAAGGCCCCCATTAGATCAAGCGCATGTACTTTCTTCCATATCAGGAAGGTTCTTAGAGGTTTTGTTTCAGCTGGAACTTTACAAATGAAAAAAACTCGGCTTTAACTGAAAGCACTAGCTTAATCCCTTAACAATATAATCCCTGACCTCGAGTGTGGGTTATTAAACCTAATTCTTAGACGGTGCAATTCGACTGGATTCCCTGATGCTTAACCTTGAATATGGTGACAACTTTTATGAATTCTGCATAGAACGTGACATTCGAGAGATAATAATTCCGACGGATTTAATGTCATAAGGTGTAAGATTATTAACCTCACAGATAATTACATACATTAAACAGCGGCAATACTATTCATGAGAATATGTGCTGGGTTATATTTGGAAACGAAGTTTTTTTCATTTATAATGTACAGTAATGTAATTGCAGTAATTCTTCTTAGTAACGACACAAATCTAATTATCCGTTCAAGTTTTCGATAATTAAGAGAAAATTCAGCTCTATATTTTTTTCTTGATTTCTAACCTAAAGCATGGTGTTTTCAACAGTAATCTTCAAAACCTCGCATATTCCTCCATTCCACATTGACCAAATGTATCCATCAATAATGTATGTCGGAAAAAACTTGGGCCTATAACCAAATCACTCGTAATGCAACAGATCTCATCGTATCTCAGCAGCTAAGCAGGCTTGAGCCTGGATAGTGCTTGGATAGGTAACCACCATATGCACAAAACATGATGTTATAAGCTACTTGATTATCCGCAGAGGGCAGTAGTGCAACAACATATACATTGTTGTAGTATATATTATTGGGTCTTTCGGTAAAGTCACGTCGATAGGTTCAAAGAAAATAACAGAAAATAACAAAAAACTGCAACGTTTCGATCGCAACACAAGCGGTCGTCTTGTGTTGCGATCGAAACGTTTTAAGTCAATATTTGTTGTAGTGTACTTCTATGCTCATGTCTATGCTATCTGCCTTCACCCTCCACAGACTGGCATTGTGAAGTATGGTCAAATAACCCATTGCAACACACATAACATGTGGGTGGCCCTTATCCAGCAGTAGATTAATACAAGGGCTATACATGTGCATCAAGTTAAATATCACATTAATCTGGAGGATGATGTGTGCTGAAGCTTGCCTTAAAGTGGGCTCCAGACACTGGAGTTACGGAAGACCAGTTATTTTACACAAGATAAGAATGACACAGAGAGATGGGCAGAGCAACACGTACATTAGGCAACATAGGCAAGTTAGAGACATGTTGACTGCCAAAACTAAGTTCGTCCGTCTACCTATGCCATACGTGCAACAGTGGATAGATTATGGTGGATAATGATGGTGGTGATGAGCACAGCCTCGTGTGCTTTATGCCGGAGGGTTGTGCCCTGGCGTCATTTCATGTGCGTATCGGCGCATGTCAGCATGAGTCAATCAGGTGGAGCAACGCACCCGGACTAACTCCATCATGTCCTTGACAAAGCCGTCCACCTCAGGCCCCTCCAGCACCCCGGTGCGACTCTGTGTGGGAGGTAACGCGGACGGAGACAACCAAATGCAAGCATCGACAGCGAGATATAACGGCTTCCCTCTCTCTGATCTGTCTCATCACGAGTTGCTCAGTTTTGAGTGCCACATTAGACTCTCCACCTCACTTTCCTCCTTTCGTTCTGTCCTCAGGTACTTTCTATTTTCTATTGCTTTTTCTCTTCCACTGCCTCCACCCATACTGGTTCCGTCCCCCACCTCTAACCCACTCCCAGTTCCCTGGTTCTCTTCATCCGACTCCAATTCCTAACCCGGCTCCTACGTCTCGCTTTCTCTATGTGCACCTAACCATATCTCTCCCCTAGCTCTCCACCGGGCTCCTCAATCAGCTCACCTATCCGGCCCCCAGACCTCTGCGCCTACCACCCTTCACCTACCCTCATCCATGCCCAGCCACAGCACCAGTCTATCTCATCACTTCACGCATGTGCCCCATACCCCGCTGCCTCTCGTTCATGTTGCTCCCATCTGTCACCATCATTCACCATCACGCTCCGCCTTATTCCTCCTTGCCTACCCCTGCAACATCAGCTCCATTCCCACCCCGTCCATCCATTTCATTCCGTCACCGCCCTCACTAACAGCCGCTCCACCCCACTCATTACTCTCCTTTTGCCCCTTTGTGTACCGCCGTGCGTTTGTAAATTCTGAAAAAAAGAGATGTTAAGTCGCCTTGTATACTGGAGTGCGTGGGTTCAATCCCGACTCTGATGCCTTTACATTTGGAGTGCGGATGTTCTTTCCATGGTCGCATCGATTTTCCTCTGGTTCCTCCAGTTTTTCCCTCCACATTTAGAAACATGCGTTTCGAGTATTTGGCTGCGATACATTGTCACATGATAAGCCACTTCGTTCAGCTATCATTTGTGGCCAGGTCGCTTCTGAAAAAGAGCTATACAGCTCAGTGGGCCTTACCTTGTAAAATAAATAAAATAAATCCCCCTTGCCTTGGTGGTTTTGTGGCCGCAACAAAATTTATCTCAGGTTTTTTCAGCTGTAAAATCCAAACAGTTTCCCAGGAGAACTGATTTTGTGACAGTCCATCAAGGGTGCAAAATGTGTTGCCTCTGCATTCCAATCGGCAAATGAATATTATGTGGGTTTGTCACCTCACCAGAAATTGTAAAACCAGGAATATTTTTTTTCTGCATTAATATTTTCAAGTCGTGAGCCATTGTTAGTTTTTTGTTTTGTTTGAGATATTTTGAGTCACCCATTGTGAAATGTTTCCAAGCCTGTCACAATAATATTTTCCAACAATGACTTTCTTCAAGTTTTGTCTTGTCAGGGATGGATCAAAAGTATCAGAATTTGCAGCTTTGTTTCTAACAAGACCAAGAACTTTGAAATTGCTGTTGAAAATCGGCCACGTACAGAATGTTTTAGCCTAATATTTCAACTTGAATTGATGAAGATATGAACATAATGCATGGCATACTAATTGTTTTTTGCTAATTATTTGTATTTGCAAGTGCACCAATGAATGAACACAACCAATATTTGAGACGAATTGTACCCTATATGTGTGCTGTAATGCTATGTTTATTTTCAGCAGCTAATAAGTTGCTTGTATTCCTTTTTAATGCCATTCATGAGCTGTTGTGTAGTTATTTGTTAAAACTGCATAATGAGCATCAGGCAGGAGGCAATTATGCACAGCTAAGTGACAGCACATTATCATTTTAAAATGAAGCATGCATCACATACAGTTTTTTTTAAACATTCCCATCATTTAACTTTTAAATCTAAATCATTACTATTTTCTGCATGCCTGCGTCTGTAATAGGGTTCAGTTTCAATATATATGCGCAAATGTTTGCTGCACACATCAACAAGAGCCCCAGCAAATATTAAGCAAGAATATGATCAAGCGCACACATGGATTATGTAAAGTGCCTCAGCTGGCAGGGTCGGTACGCCGAAGAATGTCGTTTTAGCGCTGGTTCTGTGTCTCCAGGTTGAGTAATTCATTGATCAAATTGGCCGATTTTCAATTCAATGAGTCCCAAAGTTTTGTTCCTATCCATTAATGTTGATGAGAGTTAGTGTGCCGCACTGCTACAACCGGATGGACAGACGGATGGACAAAAAGACAGACGGACGGACTGAGCTCATGCATCAATGGTTTCACCATGCATTGGAAAACATAAACAATACAAAACTGAGACATTACAGAGTCTGGCCCGAGATGCCACTTCGTACCACATCATAGTGCGCAAATATCTTCTCAAAGTCCCTGCGTCTTTCCTCCTGGCTTGCATCCTGGCAAGGCACGACAATTATTTTTCGCAAACACATTACTTGGCACAAGGATGCCCTCGCCTTTAAGTCGTGCTGCACCTTATTTCAACAAACACAGTGCATCTGGTGATAAACACGAGTAATAACACGACTTCATAGGATATAGCGGTTACGCTCTACAGCTCTCCGATGTATTTTCCAGCATGTAACAACGTGCGTTGTGTGGCAGAATGTTCAACGTTTCGCTTCGCCACGTTTCGCTTCGCAGCACGTGGAGCGAATCATCTGACATCGTGCTGAAAATTACGAGGTACAACCCGTAACACGTCGCCGAAGGAAACACGAGCCACTTAAACGGCACACGATGCATTGCCACAAACTGGAGACAGATTAATGCCTTCCATGACAAAGGTCTTTAACTTGTACAAACACTGAGAGGTGGCCAATTTTAAAATGCACCATCTGGGTGTAAAAAAAGCCTCAACCCATGTTTACAAAGATGTGTGCACTGCGAGACTTTACATGAGCATGCTAGGCTAACTAAGAAGGTAAATAAATAAATTAAATACATTAAAAACACCCACGACTTTCGAAAGACACTGCAGATAAACAAATAACGATTACGTCTCAAACCATGACATCTATTCCAAAACCCAATAAATGTGTCTATTTAAATCGTCATCACCAGCCATGATCTATCTACTGCTGAATATAGGCTTCCACAAAGCTTGATCATCCCTCACGATTTTGTGATGCTACAATCTCATTCATGCAAATGAGCTGATTTCATTGCTTCATCTCCGTGGTAATTGTCCTCTCAGCTGCTTTCGCCCCTATGACTGCCACTCCATCATTCGTGTTAATCAGTAGTAGTGTTAATCCCTTCTAACAATGTGTCCTGCCCAAGCCCACTCACGTTTCTTGATACTGTAGTTAATATGTTTTTACGTGTTTTTTCTCATATCCATTTGTTTCTATTTCTATATCCAATTATAGTTCCAAACATTTACCTCCCCGTGCTTCTTTATCTTACTTATAATCATGGTATCATTTCAGTCAAAGCTGCCTGAAGCTGAGCTCCAGAAAATATTCTCCCCCTCTACCACCAACCACTCAGAGTTACTGATACGAAGTTTGGTGAAATAGCTTTAAAAAACAGAAATCCCTTCTTTACGTGCTTATCTAATAATAGCATACATGCATTGAATGAAAACACTATCCTAAAAAAATATAACTGTTACACACAGCACCTCCGATTAGCACGGGTGGCTATGTACGGTGCGAAAGAAGATTAACATACATACGTACAATCTGTTCTTGGAAACATACTGACCCTCTGCATCAGGTCCGTTAGCTCTACATGCATATTCGCTCCGTTAACCACTGCGGGGGTGATGATGCGAGGTGTTAGCACTCTCGCTTCTACACATGGCAGAGGGATTCACGATGAAGATGTTTGCACCCCTACGGTTATGAAAACAGCCCTCAGCCTTACCCTCTTAACAAATACTTCATTCCACGGTGTTCGCGCGTTAACACCTTGTCCTGATGTTACACACAGCTGTATTTGCCTCACCTCAATGCTGAACTGCAGGAGATAATTTTCCTTTAGCGACAGGATCCTGAGTGACACGTACAAATCAAATACCTTTAAAAAAGAATGACACTTTAAAATTACTTTTAAAAAATATTACCGCTAAGCTTTAGAGCATATCGCATCGCTAAAGAATTCTGTGTGCGCGGCTTAAGCGCGAGGCTTGATGTCAGAGCAGCGGCATCGATCGTTTGACACCAAAGCCGTGCAGCAGGTTCTCACCGCGCCATATCATTCAGATCCAGTCGGCCATCTTTGTTCTTGTCAAAGAGCTTCATCTGCAAAATGCATCAAAGACGTCCTCAAGATCAAAGCGTGACTTGTACCACCTGCAAAGATATTCTCCAAAGCCAGTTCATACTTGTAACTCGAGTAAATGCCTGCAACCGCTCACTGTGTACAATTACGTATCGAGTCTCAGTTTGATTGTTGCCAAGCGGTTCAATGGAGTTACTTTTGAATTGATACAGAGTCCTGCAAATGCACTGGACCTGATTATATACTCGCCTCTGGGATCAAACTGTAAATCTCACAAGCACCTCATACAGATCTCATGAGCATTTCCATCACTCACCCACCTGGTTGTGGGCCCCTTACCATGGTATCAGTGTACTCTTCAAGCTTCTTCTCTTCCACCTGCCGGCCGTGGTGGCTCAACAGGTCCTTGAGGAAATTCTGCAAGGTTGAGAGGGGCACGTGCAGTATGAATGATGGTTGTTATTTGATGGACTCTGATTCACGTGCAACATGAGGAAATGCGGCCAGGTATCAAAGACGGCCCTGAACTCACTTTTAACTCGGAAGCAGAAATGAAGCCACTAGAATCCAGGTCATATTGATGCCAGATCTGAAAAAAACATGACCAATTAAACAGTAAAAACTTTTATAATAATAAAACCACAATATGAACACATTTTTTCTGGTGTCTTTGTGGGTGAATTTTGCTGAGTGACTGAAAATCTGAACAACTTTGACATTTCAATCCAAATCGATCATACAAACTGGGCCAGCCATTCTTATAAGCAGGCTAAAGATAATGTCCATGCACATAGGACTATGGCACGATCTCCGCATGGAGCTGTGTTCAGTGGGGAGATGCTGTGATTTGCGACCTTGATAAACTCCACGCTATTGTCCAGCGACGAGGCTCGCTTGAAAATCAGCAGGAAACTCTCATCCTCAGCCAGAAGCATATTCGCCACCTGAGGGACATCATCATCACCACTGTCAGTGCTGTCACCACTCTGACAGTTTATACATCATGATTCATGACCAGTCAGCAACCTACAAGAGTAATTCATCACAACAGTAATCCGAGTTGAAATTAACAGCGGCTATTTCAAATGTTGAGGGTGCTGTCGTGGTTGTAATGGTTATCACACAAGACTTGCAATCGAGAGGTTACCCGTTCGATTAAATCTTTTGGCACGGCAGATGAAACAGTGCGAAAGTTTCTTATATACCCCTGCAGCATAAATGGGTTTACCACAGTTAGTCGATCGGCAGGTTGCACGTGTAGGGTAACGGAAAGGTTCTCCCACTTCTTCCAAGATATCTGGCCAGCGTGGAAGAGTAGACCAAATGCCCTCTAGTGGAGGCGCTTCTTCCAACAGTGGCATGAGCCAAAAATTACAGGGCTGCAACTTTTATTCTTATTGATATTTTAATATGGGGATAGGAGGGCACATGCAAGAGCGTACGTCCACAATGGAGATGGAGCTATGAAATCTGCTTGTGTGCAGGAGAGATGGATCATTGCATTGCGAGATCATGAAGCATGCTGATGGTTTAGAAGGTTTTCATCCAGCAGTGGCTAGATCATGGATTATGATGGTGACTGCTAATGCTACAGCAACACAGTTCATGCTATTAATAATCTATATTACCACCCTCCAAAGGGATTTTATATGGCTGTTATATGGTATGCTCTATTAATCTGTATGTATATATCTATAAACACTCTGTATGACAGAAGAGGAATTAATTTAAATATTTCTTCATCCTCCCTTGCCACATGTTCCACATAACCCCTAAGTAGGTCAGATGGAGCATGACGTTTCCATCAGAAATACCGCACGTCTGTTCCTACATTAAACATTATGACAGTATTATTACAATAGTAATGTGCAATCCTTTGTCAAATCAATGCTGGATGAAGGCCGCTCCCTGCAATGCTGGTCTGTGCTAGTTGGTGAAGGGATGAGGTGCCCAAGACCAGTTCAGATTATCACCTGTCACTGGTGTTTGCCGTGGCTGGGAATCGAAGTCGAGTCACTTGGGACAGTTTTCCTCAATTAAGTTAATACATTACATTATTATAAGCTGGTGTCTAATGCTTTTGTACAAAGCGTCGCTCATGATTTTGCGCGTGTGTCTTAATTGTCCCAATGCTATGCAAACCATGCTAGAAGCTTCCGTACCAGCCCAGTGCTTGAAGGCTGTGGAAACATAGCAACAGGGCCTCCGTTCCTTGCCCGGTCAAAGCCGCTCGGCTGGCGGCTGATTGTTTGGTCGCTGCTTGTGGTGCTAGCAAATATGTTGCACGGGCTAGGGGATGGGGCGAGCGGCTTGCAATTTCACCTCGGACAGGTGCAGCCTTCCGTCAGCAGACTCATCGTAGATGGACATGAGGTTACGCCTCACGGTCTCCACCTTCTCGTCCGACACGCACTCCTTGGCAGCCAGCAGACCAAAACACGGGCAGTTACAGAGGCAGTTAACAACTGATGTAACGTCTCGCGTGATATCAGCCACTTGTGTGTGTGTATGCGTGCGTGCGAGAGATCAATTGTGAAAGCAAAAGTTGCCGACCCCTGCTTGTTTGAGTAGATGCTTGAAAAATTCGTCGAGTTCTTTGCCTTCAATGTAACCATTATCTGACAGGCACACACACACAGGGTTGTAATGAGTCTGTGTGCGAGAAAACATCTGTGCATCTCAGTCACATGAAACACACATCTGGCAGTGGCAGGTCGAGAGCAAGATAAATAGGAATCAAATTTCAAATATGTGTTTCTGATAAATATACCATGAATATAAACCGTATATTAAATAAAAACTAAGGCATTGAACGCTTAGAAAGAAAGACAAACATTTGTCAATGTTTTTTTGAATATGCTCATTTCCCCCCATTTTCAATGTCACGAAAAAATAAAAATAGAATACGCTTTATAACTTGAATCAACATAAGACACGTTTACAATTTTCAGCACACAAAGAAAATGTTTTCCTTTGGAAGTTGATAAAACCGTGGAGGCGGGGGAAAAAAAACTTCTAAATGGATTCACCGTAGCGTTGTGCGGTCACGCCCATGAATTCTCATCCCGAGTGATGAATAACACCGAGCTTGTTTACACAGCAGCATCTGGAGTCAACAGATGTAGCCGTTTACTCTGCGAGTTGCCCGCTCACCAATGTCCCCGGTAAAACACGCGGCTAAATGCATTAAGGGCTGCGACTCGGCATTCATCTTGGACAAACGTTCAGGAGTGGCCCTCTCCGGCTTCGCATCACTTTTACAGGGCCGCATGGCAGTCAGTGTTAGTTCATATTACACACGAGAAACGTTACTGCGATACCGCCCTACGCGTGGATCATAAGCAGTTATGTAAGACACATGGAATGTCTACCACGTGATGTGTGCTAAAACATCCAACAGTCACCATTAATTTTCTTATTGATTAATTACATACTATTGTAAGATGGACTTGGCAGTGATACTATTTTACCTAAACCTACAACACCACTATAATCACCCAGGAATGGCTGTCCTTAATGCTAGTGACATCACTCCACATCGACCAGCCCCACCTCATTTTAATATTCATCAGTTGGCGACGTCCTCCAAATGGACACCCCCCCACCCCTCCTCATTAATAATCATGAGCGGGTGACGTCACTCAATATGGAGTACTCCCCCCCTCACTAATACTCATGAGCAAGTGACGTTGCTCCACATCGAACAGCCCCCCCTCATTAATAATCATGAGCATGTGACGTCACTCAATATGGAGTACTCCCCCCCTCACTAATACTCATGAGCAAGTGACGTTGCTCCACATCGAACAGCCCCCCTCATTAATAATCATGAGCATGTGACGTCACTCCACATGGAGCACCCTCCCCCTCACTAATAATCATTAACAGGTGACGTCCTCCAAATGGACACTGCCCCCCTCCATTCATAAGCGGCTGACGTCACTCCACATGGGGGGCCGAGGTGCCTCCTCCCTCCTCCTCGACGTCAACTCACAACCCTCACGACAAAGGCAGAACGCTCACGTCACGTGATCTCCATAACTCTCTTGAGGCCTCAAAGTAAAAAGGACGTCATGATGAACAAGGGATTATAACCTTAAAATGAAATAGGTCTGTGTCACCGCGGCATTACAAAGTGCAAACGCATTAATGCAATGACTATCATGTTGCGGTCTGCTTTTTACTTGCAAGTTTCAGATTTACTACAATACACCCGTCCTTGAACGGGCAAAAGGCTAGTTTTTAATACCAACTGATTGTTTTACAGTACTTGAATGCCATTCACAGACTCAGGCTAAAAGTTGGCTTACTGCATTTCAGGCGTTCGTGCTTACCTTGTGTGCATTCGACAAGGCCAAAAGTTATCCAAGAGAAAACAAAAACAATACCACCAAACGATTGAATGTGCCCAATCTCATCACATCTCGGCAGTTCAGCAGGTTTGAGCCTGCAGGGTAGTGCTTAGGATCTGACAAAAACAAAGATCATCCATATACCCTTAACAGACTGTTGGGGCAAGTGCTGTGAGCGAGCACCTATGAATGCCGGTACGGCGCACGAGGGGGTGGGCAGCACCACGCCCGGCCGCCTTTGTCTCCCCAGTGGCGATGTTTACACATCGCGCCAGGTACTTATTTGACGCTGAGTCGACCTAGGGGAGGCCCAGGACCGGTTCAGATAATCGTCACTGGTGTTGACCGTGAGCGGGAATCGAACTCGGGTCGATGGCGCAGCACACTACCCGTTGTACTACCACTCCCACAATGCATAAACAGGGTGCCACAGGGATGTGGAGCTATGTGGTGAGCAGCGGATACCAATGCAGAAGAAATGTATTGTTGTACTGTACTTCTACGAACCCGCAAATATGCTCCCCACATTCACCAACCCATACTGACCAGCGTGGTGAAGTGTAGCAACATAACCATCACAACATGCACGGCATGGAGAGGCAGTCTTACAACATTAGATCAACAAACATCTATATATGTGTTGTGGGTTCCACGGAGACAGACTAGAACTTGGAGACAACACGTTTATGATAACACCCCAACAGGGTAACTGCATAAATGTACACTTGGTTAACTAGATCCAACGGGGTAACTACATAACCGGGTCAGTCAGTAACATACTGCCTGAAGCCGAGCGTAAACATCGAAGACCAAAGACCGAGGATCGAAGAGACGAACCACCGACGGGTAGATTCCACAAGACAGCCGCGATTGCTCTCGGGCCATCCCTCTTGGTCCATCCCTCTTATGCTGTCGAGCGTGGCCTTGCTCCGCCTCCGGCCACGCCCCCTTCTCGAGCTTTCCAGAAGGATGTGGAGCCAGCATCACGTATCCCTCAAGCCCCCTTTTGGGCCCCCTTGATACCCCGTGCCAATCACGTGCCCTCTCGGATTCACCCAGACGGTCAAGTCCTCACCCGACCTCTCTCGCACTGTCACCAGGACTATGCCCCCTGGGGCCCGCTTCTATGGCATACCCACTCTGGTGCCGAAGAGAGGCCCAAGACGCACAGCTCCACTCTTGTGACAGTAGCTGGTGCTAAACGCCATAGTGACTACACATGTACACGATGCGGTTTACATATGATGGTCAGGAGGGTACTACGCCTATTTACTCATTTTATAGTGGGAATACAAGAGAGTAAAGGGCAATGCGATCCATTTATAGATACCCCACTAAAACATCAGGGATAACTTGATGAGAAAACAACATTTTATTTCAAAGCCTAATCATGTATGCCTCTAATCTCAATTTACTGATGATCTATTTAACACTTCCTCTAAGAAGATATGAAGCCATCGCTTTTCACAATGTGTTATGTTACCAGGTAAGGCTCAGTGAGCTATATATCTCTTTTTCAGAAGCGACCTGTCACAAATGATAGCTAAACGAAGTGGTATACCATGTGGAAATTTATATCTGCCAAATACTCTAAACGCGTGTTTCTAAATGTGGAGGGAAAAGGCGGAGGACACGGATACAAATCCACATGACCACGGGGAGAAAGACAGACGCCAAGGTCGGGATCGAGCCCACAACCTCCTGTATACCAGGCAAGCTAATTAAAATCTCACCACCGTGGTGCCTATTCAGAACGAATACGCTATCAATGTTCAGGCTTATAGGCGCACACTCTTCTAAGAGCAGTCGTTTTGCAGGATATCAAACCTCCGTGTTGGAATATTGAACAGGTTGTGAATTACAAAGCTGTACTGCTTTGGTATCTTCCTCATTCACACGCACACATTATCCAATATCAAAGACACCCCATATAGCCTTAACAGGATTTGGGGGCAAGTGCTGTTAGCGAGCACCTATGAAGGCCGTACCAGTTACTAAGTTCAGGCTGAGATAATTCTGGACCAGTTCAGCTATTTGTCACCGATGTTGGTCGTGAGTGAGAATCGAACTTGGGTCGTCGGGTTCGTTGCGAAGTGTGCTAAACCACTACACACTACTGCTCCCCAAATATCACACACGCACATTCGTTGATTTTCCAACCGCAACCCTGAATAAAACATGTATTGTAGGTGCAATCATCGTCCTTGTACCGTGCACATCAAACATTGACCCAAAGTAATTAGGCCGTACCATCACGTATGCATTGCTCTTGGGCAACACAAGAATATGCTATTGATTTATAACAGTCATGGCCTTAACAGCTGTTACCATGCACAGAAAAATACGGTACACGTGTTATCCAATATAACAACCCAATCGCGTGGGGTTCGGACTCTCTTTCGCTTGCAATTCAAACAATCCCTAGCAGTGGATTGACTTGACCTGTCAATCCACTACTGGATGACTACATCCCATGCCGAGTCAGTCATGGGGTAATTTGATCATACTTCACCACGCTGCTTAGTGTGCCTTGATTAGTATGCAATATAAAGTCCAGTAGGAGTTGTCTTGATAAATTCGACTACATCGCTCACACCTTTTTGCCTCTGATCAAATGACCTAAAATTATCCCAAATGGGAAGTGCTTGGATGAGCAACCATCGTACATAACATGCGTTTACAGGCTGTGCAGAAAAATCCATTATTGTACTGTATACGGAACTCTCTCGTTGATGCTACCTGCAATCACCTAACCGCACTGACAAGCGTGAAGTATGGTCAAATATACCCCATGACCAGCACGGTGAGGAGGCTGTCTACCCTCCTCACCACGTAGACCCCATCCTATAACACCTATTATATATGGAGATCGCTTAATTCAAGCACTATCCAGGCGTAGGTCTGCTTAGCTTCTGAGATTGGGCGAATTCCAGGGTGATTTCTTGAACAAGGCAATTTGTTCAAAATCGAAATGCCAATGTTGGGGTCTGTTATCCACGACGAGAGGGCTTCAGGGGTTGTAATTTTGCTATTCCTCCATTAAAGGAGCGCAGACTACAGTGGCTTACTATACGGTCCATCGTTTGGGTTGCATGGCCACACTCGCATGACTGGCTTGTCTTTAATGTTTCCATTTATGGGTTTACTATATACTTCCACTATATATTGTGCAGTGCAAATTATGCTTAATTGCATTCTAAAAAAATGTTGATTATTAGAAGGGGTGTGTTATAACTTATAAGCAATGTCGCTAGGAGAAATGCGTTATGTGGCTTAGATGTGTGGTTGTGTTGTTGGGGAGCAGAATTATACGCAACTGATGTGTGCAATAGTATGCAAATTATTGCAACAGTGAAAGTCTGGATTGGCCTTCTGCGTACTAACGACCATATATAAATAAGTTGTAGAGGACTACATGCCACGTGTGGATAATAAAACATTTCAATTTATACATTCATAAAATGTCTGTGGCAACATTGATTTTATGCCCCCAAAATATACATTTATACACGAACGAGAACCAAAGTGGAACGGTTGAAAACGAGACTATATCAAGAAACATTTTCAGAAACTTTTAGATTGCATTTCATATTTCAAATCTCACCCTGAAGTTAGAGATCACGTACAATCGTGATAAGATCAAATGTTTGCTTGTTTTCTGTATTAACTATATTTATACGGAGGAAAGACAAGACAAAAGAGTACGTGAATGAGAACACATACGCAGGTTAAAGACAATTTTAACTTAAGAAAAGGAACGCTTGGGCTGTACACGACGCAGGGAAGAGATGATGGCCCATGGTAAAGACTCATAATGGAGTAGAAGGCAGGCAATGTAACGATTCCAAGATCACGTACACCGAGGAGATGGAGCAATTAAATCTGCTCCTGTTCAGATGTTGAGTGTATTACATCATTGTGGAATCGCGAGAGACGGTGGCGACTTGGAGAGCCCTTCACCCAGCAGTCGATTGACAATGGCTGGTGGTGATGAGATAGAAGTCACTGAATCGTCGAATATTTGAGTTAGTGAATAGGTACTTACATTCAAAACACGTTAACAACCACTTGGATGTTAAATTCGAATATTCTCTCACAATGCTTAGCCTCTTGACATGACGAGATCGCATGCACCATTACTCGACAGTCATACACACATCATGCATGAACTCTACTCGTGGCCTTTTCTCCGAATGTACAAGAAGTCACCCCTACCATCGGCGTCAAACTTCTGCCAGACCTCCAGCAAGCCCTGGGAGTCGAGATGACCGATGGCGAGACGCTCCATGACCCACCGTTGCAGCGAGAACTGCCAGAGGTCGAGAACCGAGTCGAGGGTGGAGACACAAGATAAGGACGCGAGGGGTGGGGGGTGCTCGGAACACGCAGCGAGGGCGAGTCGACGAGGATGATGATGACGAGTAGGAGGAGCGGTGTGCCGGGTGGTCCCGTGTCCCCTCTTATCTCGCCGTGGAAGGGTGATAATGGCACGGGCGCAGGCGCATTGTCGCCGGTGCCAATAAGCGCTCGTTTACCAGAGTGCTTTCGTGCGTAATTGCGCGCGGGGTGAGCAACTCACTCTTGGCTCTGCTTGGGTGTACGGTTACCGGACTGCAATCTGCCTCATTATCGTCCATTAGTACTTGAATGAACGCCACGATGAAACTAAACAGAATCCCGCGCTGATTGTATGTGTGATTGTATGTGTGTATATGTTATTGTAAGTGGATACATGCATGCAGGTGGGGGGCGATAGTGCGCCTCGAACCCGGCGACACGAGTTAGACTCTCGCTCACGGCCAAGACCAGTGACGGTTGTCTGAACCAGTCCTGGACCACCGCGCCCACCCCATATGATGCGGCGTGTAAACATCAGCACTGGTTAGACAAAAGCGGCCGGGGGTGGTGTTGCTCAGCCGTTCGTTGTCCATGTAGGCCTCGATCGGTGCTCAGTGTGGCTATATTCAATTTCAGTGCGCTCCTTATTGAACCAGGTTTTCACTCTATCTTCCCACTGCTGTGTCCAATAATGCCCCTCGTCATAAATAAATCAGTTGGCACATATACAATAACACAACATTTAGTCATATCAATCTATCGGCCTTCCGTATCAATGTATTTTTCCCCAGCAGGTACAACTCTGGACCGGTTTAGCCTTCTGAGTCTATCTCAGTCATGCCTGTTCAACAAACGTAGGATCTAGATTTAAAGCTTTCGTGACTGCTAGGATCCATATTCTTTGGTTCCATTGGGTAAAGTCACGTAGGTGAAAATAAAATAACAAAAAATCACGACGTTTCGGCCACAACACAAGCGGCCTTCATCAGGTGAAGGGACGAGACTGTCTGTCCTCCAGACAATCTGTCCTCCAGACAGTCTCGTTCCTTCACCTGATGAAGGCCGCTTGTGTTGTGGCCGAAACGTCGTGATTTTTTGTTATTTTATTTTCACCTACGTAACTTTACCCAATAGAACCAAAGAGTATAAACGTAGGATCCTGTGCCTGAAGTTTTAATGGGATTCAGATTGCCTATTTTGCAAAGCACACCTGAGTAAACATAGCTACGCAAAGCTAAATAAGTTATTGGATATTTATTGATGGTATTTATCTTCATTGGTGGAGAACCTCAATGCTTTACTATAACACACGCAAATAAGTATTCTGTTCAGACCTCGATACTTCTTCTACCCATGGGTCGACAACCTGCAGCTCCGGAACCGCATGCGGCTCTTTAATTACTGTTTAGTGACGTTATGCACAAGCATTGCGGCTCTTAAATTAGTTATTTACCGAATTCGCAAAAAAATGTCTCGTTATTTTAGTTTCCGACCCCTGCCAATGTCAATCAAGAACTCACGCTCTGAGGATGACAATTTCCTCTCGTTATTGTGTTCAAATACGGTAACTTTGTTGCATGCATACAATTATCTTCATTTCCTCAGTGCTTGAGATTAGATTTCACGTTGCTTATTTTCCAATAACTTTGGTCAATAAATTACCTTAGCCATTGTATATCGGCTTGTGCTCAGTAAATGGGATAAAAAAACCCCAGCACACTTTCACAATTCTGTGCAGGGAGCCATGTTGGGTCGACTTTGTGCACACTGGTTCGGGAAAGAGTAGTTATCACTTTGATGGCTATTTCCAACCAGCCTGGAACTAAAGGATCGATGAATATTCCTTTCCCATTAACTTTTTTAACATTTTTATCATGAGTATAATTTACAACAGGATGACATTTTTTTACATAACCCGGCTAATGTCCATGTTTATTTTATTTAAAATACCATTATTCTATTACAGAGCACTTATTGTATATTTTTACAAAGCATGGTTTTAAAAGGGCACTTTATAGCTCGCACGCCACAAAAAAAGGAAATACTACATATACCTACATGTTACCCACGTAAATCCCTGAGCAACAAGGAACATAATCATGCTTCCATTACATACTTTTATTTACTGCATTGCTATGAGCATTTTCGGATGAAACCCACCGCATTTATGCATGTATGTTGAACTATTTTTTACACCGTCCGTAGCCAACCGTGCTAATCGGAGGTGCGCATGTTCTGCGACACAGCCCCATGGGTCATGCAGTTTCAAAAATGCATAACACTGTGAACGACCATAAAGGTAATGCTTAAACTTCACTAAAAATTTGGAAAATGCATGTATAGTGACATCACGGGATGTCACTGTACAGTGCCGGCCCTAGAGAGGCTCGGTGAGCGCTGGTTGATAGCGCTAGGTGGCACCACGGGGTGTGCAGTGCCGGCCCGACAGGAAAAGGTGGGAGTGCCGGCCGAAGGATGAGGTTACTAAAGGCCAAGGCACTCTGGTTGACCCGAGAGGACACGTGACCGGTTAAGTCTACAAAGGGGCCCCAAGTGGGGGCTAGGGGTGGTCACGTGGTCGGGGTCCAGATCCTGCTCGAGGATTCTGGAAGGTGGTCGTGGCCAAGGGCGGAGTCAGCCATGCCGCAGAGAATATAAGCCGGGTCCCCCAGAGGGGCCGGCGTTGTTGTTCATCCTGAAGAAATCTTCGTCTACGTTCTACCGAGTCTCCAACACATGGACCTGGACCCGAGCTGTGGTCCCGGTCCGTAGTAGCTAGTTACATTGTAATTAGTGTAGTTAGCCTGGTGGTCACCACCATAGGTTTTTATTGTGAAGGGGCAGTTACCCCATGTGTTGGTGTTAAATAAATGTGTTGCCTCCAAGAGTACGTCTGCAACTCAGTTGAACTCACTGCACACGGATAATGCGAAGTCCATGTTTACTAGAAATGCCTAGCTGCAAGAAGCCTTGAGATGTGAGAATAGGGCATCTGTTATAAAAGGATATACGGTCATGGCAAAAGAATAAAAGTAGACTGATTATTGTAGACTCACCAGCAGATGACCCTTTCTCAACACGATTACTGGGGATAACTACGTTAAGTTGAATGGGGACCTTGTAGAAAACAAAGCTGCTGCAGAAATGTACCAGCATTTTATTTGATCAGTGGTGCGTTATGTGCATAGATGCTCCCAATCATGGCAATTTAAAATATGTAATTATTTTAGCAGTGGGAGTGGGAATGCATATGTAGAATACATCTCATATCAATCTGTGGAATAGGCATATTGCACAAAGGATAACCATTAAAATAATTTCATAACAAAATGTATATCTGCAGGAGCAACATCTATAACATAGTTTACTCTTGACTTAAAGCTTTCGTGACTGCAGGGATTCATATTCTTTGGGTTTTCTATCTACGTGGCTTTACCGAAAGACCCAAAGAATATAGTTTACTCTATTTAAAATAAACTCATTAAGAATTAGCCGTAAAATTCTGCCAGTTGTAACAAGTAATCTCCTAAATAAAAAAAGGTTAAATGTATCTGAAAAATGTGGTCATCCAGGTAAATCTCAAATTAGCCGTGAAATGGCTGACCATTTACTCGGATGAAGATGCAAAGTGATAACATTAGACATGCTTACCCAAATATAGTGGAAATTTTGTTAAAGTGGTGTACATTTCCATGACTATGGCCTTTTTCCCCAACATGTTTATTTAAGACACTGTTCATTTCTATTTTCCAAAGCAGCAAAAAAAAACGAAATGTAAACAAAACTTTGATGTTTACACTGATAATGTTGTCACATGTATCCATTATAGCCCATCCAACATGGTTGCATTACATATATAAACATATTTACATCACAGACTTACTCTGTGGAAATAGTTGTTAGGTGGTGTAAGATAAAAGGCTAATGGACTGAGCGCTGTCGCGACGTGGAAGCGCTGTGCAATCTTGCGGCAGATCAAGGCAGGGTCGGCATCACACACTGGTGGTATAATTCGCCAAGCTGAGCCTCTTCAAACACTTTCCCCAGCTCATTTGTACTGCTAATCTCCAGCACGCAGAAATCACTGAACCTAGATGGGTGGGGGGGGGAGTGCAAGAATGGGCAAGTGGAGAGGCAACAGATGGTGCAATGCATGTACACGTAGCGTTGGTTTATTTATGAATCTCGGCATTAAATTATTCACATCTTCCAAAGTGATAACATTTTTCTTATTGTAGAGCTACATTCAATTTCCTCAAAGGGAATGCATCCTATGTAATTTTATCTCTTGCATTTTGTCTAAATTCTGAGACAATTTCAAATTCTAAAAACAAGCAACTTGTATTTAAAATATACTTTACCAAATGTGAACATTCATTAGTGATTCCTAACACAGCAATTAATCGTACTATTTATAAGTCAGCTTCACAAAATACCTACGCTAATTTATATATTTTGCCAGGCGGTGGCATGGTCATGCTCATAACTTATCAAATTTGCATTGCGAGTTGTCACACCACAGGAAGCTGGACCTTAGTGGAGGTGAATGAAATACATGAGTAGCATACAAAGTCATACTATTGAGCGACAGTCACAATAGGGTGTTTAATAGCAAAATAGTCCGAGTTAAAGACGGTACATTCTAAAAATGTGTATCCTTTTGTTGCAGTCGAACTGTGTATACTATTACTTATAAGACCCTCAAAGGATCATTTTAATCACTTGTGAAAGTATTTCAAAACAATTCTCAATGGGCTGATATTGATCTGATAAACCCTTAAGAGATGCCAGCAACGCACACTGATATGAGGATTTATACCATTGAGCAGCGAGCCAGCCAACCGCCTTCATAATCCCAAGGCACTGCAGATCACTGCAAGACTAATCTGCTGTACCTGTATTGCCGTGTAGACATGGTACCCTCCCAAAGCACACTCATCATCTTCTCTTTGCATCTCTTCCCACTGGAGTCTACATCTACCTTGCTTGTTTTCTGCAACACAATATACTCCTGGAAAGAGAAAGACAAGTTAGCGCTCCTACTGGGTATATCAGCTGAGTTTTGTGAAATTTTGCACATTGACGCTCATGCAAAAGTGGCCATACTGGTGTCATTATACTCCCTTGTTGCAATTACATTTCCATAATAATCTTAAACAAATTAGTACTGACGACCTTTAAAGTGGGCTCGGGTAGAATTTGTTCCGAGAAGGGATGATGGTCGGTGGTTGAGACGAATGACAAAGTGGTAGCTAATGGAGAAAACATGCCTGAGAAGAAATTTCGATTTAAAGTTTTCGTGACTGCAAGGATTCATCTTCTTTGGCTCTTTCGGTAAAGAGCTCTGTCGTCCCGACAGTTTTGTTACTTCACCTGAAGAGGGCTACTTGTGTTGTGGCCGAAACGTCGTGAGAATTTTATTGTCTTATTTTATTTTATTATTTTATTCTCATTCTACGTGACTTTACCGAAAGAACCAAAGAAAATGCCTGAGAGGATGTCCACTGCAGAGATGGAGCAATGAATGAAGAGTGTGTGCAGGAGCTCATGGATTGTTGCATCACAAAACTGTGACAGATGGTAATGACTCAGGTGGCTTCAACCAGCAGTGCAAAGATCATGGCTGATGATGTCAGTGTAGATTTGACACATTTTTCCTATGATTTACCTGCTTCATGCCTCTTGCATAGCACTATTTTAAGAGTTCATATTCAGGACCTCCCCCCCCCCCCTCCATTATGCAATATGCATACGCTCTAATTGATTTTAAAGTGCTTGCCGTGTACACAAGAAATTGAAGCCATTTACTCGAATACTGCAGAGGCTGCCCTGCAGCAGGACAAGGATTAATTTGTTGTAGAACAGCAGGCGTCCCATCAGGCCCAATTTGGCCACCCAACCCTCGATGGTCCGTGTGTACCGGGCCCGTGCTCGCATGTGATCCAGACGCAACAGGGCAACCGTCCCCTTCACCTGCAGACCATGTCACGTGTCATGCACGCAATATAATTTGCACGATACCATACAATTGTATAATTTCATATGACAGTTATAGCCACATCAGTTGACCTTATCTTAGTAATTATATTTTTCATTATTGCTTCATTGTTTTTGTGCTTTGATATAATTCTAGTACAAATTAAGATAAACGTATCATTCATCCGCAGTTCACACCATATAAGGCAGCCATACATTTTAAAATCATTGCAACTTTACAATATATAACGCTTATAAGAAACGTGCTGCCATTTACACAATTACATTAACGACAGAAGTTATGTCATATAACTATCGTGCAGTCAATTACTCTAGAACATTTTTGAAGCACTAATTTCATGGCTCAAAGCTATATTTTATAACTTTATTATTGAAAACTTGATTTCAGAAAATAAGATGAGCACAGATAATCACTCTTTGACAATGTTGCAAAACATATCATATGACTATCACTGATCTTCCATTGTATGATATAGAGTGGTGTACTATAGTTTGACCATATCTCGTCAAACCCAGTTCAAACTTATCTGTCTTAACATCTGGCAAACCTGGAGGAGCCACAGGATGAATAAGCTCTCGTCTGTGGTGTAGCCCTTGTAAGCTGGCTTTTAAACCTGCATGTGGCCATACGAGCTATTAGAGCTTATAAGGTCAATACAGTACCATGTATATGAAGATCCATTTATTACAAATGTGTTGGTTGTAATAATCATACATTTTTCATTAATATCTCTGCCTTATTGGCACGACATGAAGCATTTGTTTATGCCTTCAAGAATTATGCATTAATGTCTGTATCAATGAAAATAACATATAAATTACAAATGTAATTATTAATGATCACATATGAATTATGTGATTATTTAATCATGGAATTGTTAGTGGATTTGAGATTGACTGAATTTTTTAAAATAAAATGCATGAAAATTAGACTGTTGGCAGAATATTTGCCTAGGAAACTAAATCCAATTACTCTGGCCTAGGAAACTAAATACAATTACTCTGGCCTAGGAAACTAAATCCAATTACTCTGGCCTAGGAAACTAAATACAATTACTTTGGCCTAGGAAACTAAATACAATTACTCTGGCCTAGGAAACTAAATCCAATTACTCTGGCCTAGAAAACTAAATCCAATTACTCTGGCCTAGGAAACTAAATCCAATTACTCTGGCCTAGGAAACTAAATCCAATTACTCTGGCCTAGGAAACTAAATACAATTACTCTGGCCTAGGAAACTAAATCCAATTACTCTGGCCTAGGAAACTAAATCCTATTACTCTGGCCTAGGAAACTAAATCCAATTACTCTGGCCTAGAAAACTAAATCCAATTACTCTGGCCTAGGAAACTAAATCCTATTACTCTGGCCTAGGAAACTAAATCCAATTACTCTGGCCTAGGAAACTAAATCCAATTACTCTGGCCTAGGAAACTAAATCCAATTACTCTAGCCTAGGAAACTAAATCCAATTACTCTTTGTATTGTTACATTTTTGGTGGATCTCAAATGCATCAAGATCTTCTTGCATTTTATTTATTATACAAAAATTTATTATACAAAATTTCCATTGCGAGTATTCGTAATTCCTGGCTTTCTTTGGATTGAATATAATAAGGCCTTTCTGCTACGCCCCTTTTCAACACCATCACGAGAGCACTCACAGTTGCTTTAATTTGCCATTTTTAATGATGAAATTAAAAAAGATTATTAAAAGTCACTAAGAATGCACAGAGGTTTAGCACAGGAGCGCGTTGGGATGCAGACTGACTGGGCGACATATTGTACGTTTGTGCGCAGAACCGGCACCCGAGTCATGCTGTGTGGGTCCAAATCGCTGAAAGCAATAACATGGGTGGAAATTGGCGACCTGCCTTAAGTAGGCATGGACATAAGTAAAGCCGACTTAAGTCGAGGACCGCCTGTACTTATGCTGATAGTTGTTTACAACATATAATTATAACATATGGTAAATGCACACTCAACGCGTTTTCGCATAACACGTTTTCGCTACAATGTGGTTCTTCTATTCGGGAATATGTTTTGCACAACGTGGAATGTGCACGTTGTTGATGCGGTTTCTCAGCGGTCCACGACAAACTACTTTCTTGAGCTGCGTGGCTGAGCAGTATGGACATTCAAAATATATGCACGGAATTATACAGTACGTGCTGTTACCCTTATCTCAGTTTCAGTTCTTTGTCCTGCCATGTGTGTACGATATCGTTTTTGCTAAACGCATTTTGGCTTAACAAATCACTTTTAAGGTACACATACCGCGTTAAACGAGGAATTACTGTACATTCTAGATTTGAAGCTTTCGTGACTGCAATGATTCATACTCTTTGGTTTTTTTCGGTAAAGTCACGTAGATAAAATAAAATTAAAATAAAAGAAAACAACTAAATCAAATCACGACGTTTCGGAGGCAACACAAGCTTCCGTCTTCAGATGGAAGTTACCGCAAGAGAGCTGCATCAAGTGGGGAGCTCTGAGACCCTCGAGCTTATATACAGGTTAAGGTGGGGGGGAGGAGCCAAATTAATCCGTCTTTTGTTATGTTGAGGGTTCGGGGCAAGCGGTGGTTCCCTGCACGGGGGCAATGAAAAATGGTAAAAAAAAGGCTGTGCTCTTATAAGGTAGCTGAAGTTTTGACTTGGTTTATGACATCTTTCCAGTGGTTGCTTAATTTAAAACTATCCTCTCGGTTGAAGTTGTGTCTATGTTTGTATATCTGGATGACTTCATGGACAAATCTTTGGTAATAACCGGGAGGTTCGCATAGTACTTTGGTATCGGAGAAAACAATGTCATGAGAACCCGCTGTGTTGAGACAATGATCAGCCACGGCCGAAGAATTCGTTCTGCTGTGTTTCAAATCTGATTTGTGCTCGCGAATTCGGTCAGAAATATGTCGTTTTGTCTCCCCGATATAGCAGTCACCGCAGATACAACTCAATTTGTAAACACCGGGGTACTGTAAGTCAGGAATGACATCCTTTACAGATGGGATCAGATCACGGATTTTGTGTACTGTATTGAACCGAACCTGGATCTTGTGTTTGTTTAGAATTTTGGAAATCCTTTTGGTGACACCTGCTATGTATGGCAGTGTGATGATTTTGATCGGAGTGTCAAGTGGTTGCTTCTGTATGGTAGGAGAAACAGCTTGGCGGATGATACGGTCAGAGTAACCGTTCATCTTGAGGGCTAGATGTACATGTTTCAATTCGCTGGTCAGGTGGTGTTGGTCAGAAATGCAATGAGCTCTATGGTATAATGTTTTGATGAGAATTAAGCAACCACTGGAAATCTTCTTTGGTTCTTTCGGTAAAGTCACGTAGAATGAGAATAAAATAATAAATTGATAAAATAAAATAACACAATAATATTCTCACGACGTTTCGGCCACAACACAAGCGGCCTTCATCAGGTGAAGGGAGCGAGACTGTCTGGTAGGACAGCGCTGGAGTGAGAGAGCCACGTTCAGATCACGGCTTTTAAGCCTCAAATTTCCGTGGTACTCAAATTTCCGTGGTACGGAAATTTGAGGCTTAAAAGCCGTGATCTGAACGTGGCTCTCTCACTCCAGCGCTGTCCTACCAGACAGTCTCGCTCCCTTCACCTGATGAAGGCCGCTTGTGTTGTGGCCGAAACGTCGTGAGAATATTATTGTGTTATTTTATTTTATCAATTTATTATTTTATTCTCATTCTACGTGACTTTACCGAAAGAACCAAAGAAGATGAATCATTGCAGTCACGAAAGCTTTAAATCGAAATTTAACCACTGGAAAGATGTCATAAACCAAGTCAAAACTTCAGTAACCTTATAAGAGCACAGCCTTTTTTTTTTACCATTTTTCATTGCTCCCGTGCACTGAACCACCGCTTCCCCCGAACCCTCAACATAACAAAAGACGGATTAACTTAGCCTCATCGTCGTTCCCTGCTTGGCTCCTCCCCCCCACCTGAACCTTAGCCCCGCACGCCGTCGTGGCTCCCTGCTTGGCTCCTCCCCCCCCCACCTTAACCTGTATATAAGCTCGAGGGTCTCAGAGCTCCCCACTTGATGCAGCTATCTTGCTGTGACTGTTCCACCTGAAGACGGAAGCTTGTGTTGCCTCCGAAACGTCGTGATTTGATTTAGTTGTTTTCTTTTATTTTAATTTTATTTTATCTACGTGACTTTACCGAAGAAACCAAAGAGTAATTACTGTACAGCCTGTCAATCCACTGCAGGATGAAGATATCCCCATGCCTGGTCAGTCATGGGGGATATTTGCCTAAATATAAGTTTGCTGGTCAGTGTCGGTTGGTAGAGGCAAATGTCCAGGACCTGTTAGGATATAACTTACTACTGACGTTAGCCGTGGCCAGGAATCAAAGTCAGATAGTCAGGTTAAAAGCACATTGTGCTTATACCACTGCGCCACACCCCCTCCATCTGTATCAATTCAATATTGACTATTCACTGCTAATTTCAACCAGTCACGTAACCTGATTTTTTTTAATTTATAAAAAAAATGCTACACATACTTCCAAATCCTTCGCGGATATGTTTCCATCTTTATTCCCAGGTGATGCAGCTTCTGAGCAAAGATGTTTGCCATATTCCTCTTGCTCTGCTGTTATCGTGACCCCTCCGACGTGAAGCAACGTCTCAAAGTTCTGCTGAAGCCACGAGGCTAGGTCGTGCACGGCCGGCTGTGGCGGGAGGGCGAAGGCTCGCTGGCGGATGTTGTGCAGAAGAGTCCTGCACTGCTCCCTCGTCAGCGCAGCCGAGCTCGCCGCTCCGTCCACATGCAACGACACCACGTCTAGGTGTTGTCGCGTTGGGTAGCCAGGCGGCAGGCGGATGAGGGTGCGCAGTGGGTACCGCACACCCCTTGACTCGCAGCAAATGTTGAGCGCCAATGTTATCCCATTTGTAACTAAAAAAAAACATCCCTTGCAGGGTGAGTAATTTTTGCACTCTGACAGGGACATCTTTTGAGAACTGCTTAATGAGCTATATAGCTGCATATATCATACATATATTGATGTTCTCGTGAATACTATTACATGTTATTTTGTGTTAGAGCCCATTTTCTAGGTTTGCAAAACCCATTAAATGTTTGAACATTAACATCCAAATGACATCACATGCAGATCACAGAGGCAAGCTGTCTGTCATACAGTGTGATACTAGCAACGTGAAGCATCGTATGTTAAAAAACACGGGCATCGGAGCATATCAGATCACAATTTCACCATCCCGCACCGACCAGCGCAGTGAAGCATGGTCAAAGAAGCCCCACGACCAGAGGGGCATGGGGAAGCCTTAATCCAGGAGTGGATTGACAGAGGCCTGTAATTACCTGTCACACACACAGTGAATAAGGTGCACCCACCCCACGTCAGCTGACTCGAAAGCAATTGTCTGAAGCCTTTTAATATTGAGGCATATTTGCAAATCCTTACGGATAACGATGCCAATCGTGAATGTGGGCTTCAGGTTTGAAGGAGTTAACGATATGATCAATTGCTATACAAGGAACACTGCAAGGAGAAGAGGTTTTCAAAAGGCAAGCTATGTTTGGATGCATTTTTTTGCAAAAAGTCTGCGAATGAGTGAAGCAACCATGCCAATGTGTGCTTCTCCGTTGGTAACAGAGGCTGAAGCAGAAGATGAATCCCAGGGTGAGACAGATAACCCGAGCGCCTCTCCCTCCCAGTAACCCCAATGCAACATTGAGCTGCACCAACCACCTCACACGGCGACGACCACAGTTTCTCATAAGTACAGTATTATTTTATCATAAAGTATACATTTTTCCACAAAATATATGCTTGAAAATGTTTTCTACATTCCTAAGTGTGATTTTATTGTCTTGGGCCGAAATGCTTTCCATAGGAACGCATCTCCAAATGAATGGGAAGAAGAGGGCGCGATATACGGAATTTCGCTTTTGTTAGTGACATGATCGTGTATTTAATACGTATTAACTTCGCCTCGTTACACAGTTTACTGTTTAATGCATTACAATACATGTAAAAAAAGGTGTCAGTGTATTCTTATATTTTGGTACTGGCAAAGGAGGTCCCATGACGCATTACAATACTTGTTAAATATCCCACTAGCGACATCTAGCGATCTTTTGAGGTTCGGTTGGTATCTTTTCGCTTTATAATACAGTACCGTACAGTATTTATATTCTCCACGATGCTATTAGAGTTACGTATTATACTGTATATAATGTGTCGAACTTGGACCCATATCTTAAAAAGGGGTACTTTGCCTTTAACATTTGGCGGTTCGCCAGCATTGATTCAAGGAAACCTATTTCTGCTGAGAGTGTGAATATCGAAATCAGTCGTGAGTTTAGCTTGTATTGAATAAATGCTGTCGAAATGATTCACTCGCAGAGGGGCGTTTAAATGATTCTTTAGCATTTTATTTGTGGAGACAGATACATGGACAGGCTCTTTGCTTGTCTATCTGCGGCCACTTATTCTCACCCACCAGCGTGACTTTCGCTAGAAGAACAGTTGCTATAAAACGAGCCCACGAGAAACAAATGAAGGCCGAGTTTAAATCACCAATGACACGTCTGTCAATACCGCTGCCCGAAGAGTCTGTGTAATCGGCGACGTTTCGGGCAGTGACCCTTACTAATATATTGTGCTCCAATGCCGTATACTTTAAATACCATGTATATAAACACAATGTGTTTAAATCACCTGAACGTTCTCGCACCTCCAGCTCGCCTTTTGCACAGTAGATGGCCTCTAACACGGCCACCTCTTCCTGAACGACGCCGCCGCTCATGGTGGCCCGGCCTTCCCCCGCCGACCCCTGCGTCGCCTGAATCCCCTGCCGGCGAAGGGGGTCCGATTTCCCGAGACGGGCTAGGCTAGTCCTGCCCCTGGTATCCGAAGGACAAGTCGCTCTCGTTTAAAATAACCCTCTATATTCAACCAAATCGATCTGAGTAGTGTCGTTTAAATTAAAACGCGTTATTTGACGTGATAGACGTGTTATGCGAGTTTAAGCTCCTGTTTTGCATTGTATACCGACTGTCGCAACTTGACGCACAGAAGAAATCTGTGCGCTATTGTAATTGTGTACTTTTCGGTGAGGGTATTTTAAGTCCGGTTAACACAAATGACGTGCGCAGAGGTTCCCCCAACCCCCACATCTCTCACTGTTCATTTATTACTCATTCATTCTTCAAATATATTTAACTGGCTTCAATTTCTAAAATGTTAAACTACAAATAAAAAAAACACTCGGAAAGTACCGTACATTTCGTGATGAGCACTCGACGAGGAATGTAGTTTCGATTGTAATATTCCAGTATGGGAGAAGCAGTGATCACGATCACGCAGGTCGCTTGCCGTTGTAAGAATTACCCTCTGGTGAGAAATGTTAACGAAATTCGTGAAATGTCACAAAATTAAACGTGTTAAATTGAGACTTGTTAAAATGCCATGGTCGAAGCTTCTTAAAATGTTATAGTTGTGCTGTAACGTGCTTTTCGAAACATTGGCCAAATCATGGTTAAGTTTACGGTTGTTTTTCAGTCACATACATTAACTTTTTATCGTACTGTAATTTTACGTATTGCTGATGAAAGCTGTGTACTGCTTTACGTTAAAACAAAAGTATAACCTGTATTACGTGTATTCTTTAATTTCTATTTGCAGCGAGGCAACAGACACTTGGGACCCGAGGCCGGACCTATCCACATCCTGCCCTGTGCAAGTGATGTTTCTGCATTGTGGGGACGCAATCCAGGGTACACACACACACAATGAGATTGATACCAAATAGAGATAACTCTTTTATTTCAAAGCACCATACACCATGTGTTAAATCTTGACTTAAAGCTTTCGTGATTGCAGGAATTCATATTTTATGTCTTTCGGTAAATTCACGTAGATAGGTTCAAAGTCCCAAAGAATATGAAAAAAAGCGAGGCACAGTGACTTTACCGAAAGACCCAAAGAATACTATGTTTAAAACATTATATCCTGATACACATACGCATGTTGAACACAACATTCAATGATGCGTAAGCTAAGGTTACGATATATGATACCTTGATGTCAACCGACAAGGAATAATTTCCAGCGAGATGCCAGACGAACCCTATCTTTCGATTTAAAGCTTTCGTGACTGCAAGGATTCATCTTCTTTGGTTCTTTCGGTAAAGTCACGTAGAATGAGAATAAAATAAAAAAATTGATAAAATAAAATAACACAATAATATTCTCACGACGTTTCGGCCACAACACAAGCGGCCTTCATCAGGTGAAGGGGACGTGACTGTCTGGAGGACAGCGCTGGAGTGCGAAAGCCACGCTGAGATCACGACCTTTAAGCTGTGTGAGAAGAAACAAAGCGCCTTGACAAAGGAATTAGCATATAATTTAGCATTGAAATGGCTGAGTGATTAGCTAGTGACTGGTCACAGAAAAGGCTATGTTAAAGTTAAAGCATACACATCCGCAAAGGCACCCCTTGACAAAGGAATTAGCATAGAATTTAGCATTGAAATAGCTAATTTAAAGTATACACATCCGCAGAGGCACTCCTTGACAAAGGAATTAGCATAGAATTTAGCATTGAAATAGCTGAGTGATTAGCTTGTAACTGGTCACAGAAATAGCTATGTTAAAGTCAGAGCATATACATTCACCGGGGCAACTAGTACAAATCAAACAGGAGAATTTAGCATTGAAATAACTAGGCGAATTCAGCATTGAAATAACTGAGTGATTAGCTTGTGACTGGTCACATAAATGGCTATGTTGAAGTTAAGGCCTACACATCTGAGCTATTCACAGTAACTGGGTATACATTACAATATATCATGAATACTATATAGTGAACCAATAAAAAATACTAAAATATAAAATACCTCAATGTTATCAATAAACTCTATATTCTCCAATCAGCTAAGCTACCAACAATAAGTCGTTATATATCACAATGCTATATGGCGAAAAATGGGTGGATTCTTACCCTCAACTTTAGCACCACGGATAGCTACGGGCCCCGTTCAGACGGACGAGTTCATCCATGGTCGGAACAGAGGAGGGGGAGAGAGACAGCTGCGAGGCACTGTTATACTCCATGTTGTAAACCATACCATTAACCGTGGTGTGAGAGGTATTAAGAGTCAATGCCAGCGAAAGAGCTGCGGTCTGAAGGTCATCGTAAAATACAATTAATTAAGAACGGAAATGGTTTAAAACATCTTTCCAATGGTTACTAAGCCAGAATCCATTTTCTCGATTGAAATTGTCTCTGTGCTTGTATATGTGAATGGCCTTCGTTCATGAGGCCTTCGTTCATGAGGCCATTCACATATACAAGCACAGAGACAATTTCAATCGAGAAGATGGATTCTGGCTTAGTAACCATTGGAAAGATGTTTTAAACCATTTCCGTTCTTAATTAATTGTATTTTACGATGACCTTCAGACCGCAGCTCTTTCGCTGGCATTGACTCTTAATACCTCTCACACCACGGTTAATGGTATGGTTTACAACATGGAGTATAACAGCGCCTCGCAGCTGTCTCTCTCCCCCTCCTCTGTTCCGACCATGGATGAACTCGTCCGTCTGAACGGGACCCGTAACTATCCGTGGTGCTAAAGTTGAGGGTAAGAATCCACCCATTTTTCGCCATATAGCATTGTGATATATAACGACTTATTGTTGGTAGCTTAGCTGATTGGAGAATATAGAGTTTATTGATAACATTGAGGTAATTTATATTTTAGTATTTTTTTATTGGTTCACTATATAGTATTCATTATATATTGTATTGTATACCCAGTTAATGTGAATAGCTCAGATGTGTAGGCCTTAACTTCAACATAGCCATTCATGTGACCAGTCACAAGCTAATCACTCAGTTATTTCAATGCTAAATTCGCCTAGTTATTTCAATGCTAAATTCTCCTGTTTGATTTGTACTAGTTGCCTCGATGAATGTATATGCTCTGACTTTAACATAGCTCTTTCTGTGACCAGTTACAAGCTAATCACTCAGCTATTTCAATGCTAAATTATATGCTAATTCCTTTGTCAAGGAGTGCCTCTGCGGATGTGTATACTTTAACTTAGCTATTTCAATGCTAAATTCTATGCTAATTCCTTTGTCAAGGGGTGCCTTTGCGGATGTGTATGCTTTAACTTTAACATAGCCTTTTCTGTGACCAGTCACAAGCTAATCACTCAGCCATTTCAATGCTAAATTATATGCTAATTCCTTTGTCAAGGCGCTTTGTTTCTTCTCACAGCTTAAAGGTCGTGATCTCAGCGTGGCTTTCTCACTCCAGCGCTGTCCTCCAGACAGTCTCGTCCCCTTCACCTGATGAAGGCCGCTTGTGTTGTGGCCGAAACGTCGTGAGAATATTATTGTGTTATTTTATTTTATCAATTTATTATTTTATTCTCATTCTACGTGACTTTACCGAAAGAACCAAAGAAGATGAACCCTATCTTGTACAATCATGTGGCAAGGTGGGGCAGTGGTAATAATACATAGCCGGCATCCTGTGTGGAATTTGTATGTTCTCCTGTTCTTGTATAGGTTTCCTCAGGCTTCTGCCGGTATACCCCACCCTACCATAAAAAAAACATGCAATGTCAATCTTTGTTCAAATTGGATTTTTTTTTTTATATTACCCACATATAGCTATCATCACTCCCTATTGGTAGACTAATGCACATCACCGACCTAGCTACTGGACAGCTGTGAAAACTACTGGACGTCTGTAAAAAATAGCTTCTTAGTTCATCGGATTTCTCAAAGATAAAGGATTCTGATGAAATGAATATTCTGAGGTGTGACAACAGCTGACTCAGCGATGGGCATGTACCTTCCCAGTGCTGCACAGGGACAGCTGCCGAGAGGGGGCAGCTATGCTATGAGACAATTCGTAATTTGAGAATGCAATATTAATGCAAGCTAATTCATCCATGTACTGCACGAGAAGTAGATTGATAAATTATACAGCAGACTTTAAATGGATGACACTGATAAAACATTTGTATTGCTTATAGTGCTTCCGTAGTTGTGCAGAAGCAATAATACAAATTACACAATCGTCAAAACTAACACGGAAAGTAATGTGTAAATGTAACCAGTACTTGTCAAATGGTGCATATTTTCGTGCTTCAGTATTATAATAACCTCTTTATTTTCTTTTGAACACATGTTTGACACTGTGCCCAAAAAGACGATCACAGCCAGGAAAAACCGAGGCACAGTGGGCACGGGTCACATATAGTATATTCATATGTTATAGGTGACATTTCAGGCAAAGCACTTAATATCTTTCTGCAAATGCCTTCAATGTCACCCATTGTTTTCCTTTTAGGGCAGTGTTATTGACGAATGTGTTCAAGTTTTTGTTATTTGTGCTGTATATGTATCCATTGGCTACGTATGGTGCGTACATTCAATGTACATATACATTCATCACATCGTGCGACCTCGTGTGACCTTCAATTCCAGCCAAGATACATAACCAACAAAATGTCTCATCTCGCATTTGACAATCTCCTCCCACACAGAAATTTACATCCAAGGGAATTCTATCCGGAGTGCAGACATTAACGCAGACATGACGTGTCACCATATAGCACATTTTGGCTAAATTGTAGAGAGTAGGTTTATATTGTTATACAGTATTGGAATGTAATATGATAGACTGTCAGACTTTAGTGATCCGTTTAAACGGGTCTGACTTTAAGTTGTTTCAGGTCGAAACCAAGTTTTGTAATTGGTGTGGTGTGTACATTATAGCGACCAAATAATACAGATCACAAATCCCGCCACCACATTTTATAGTTGAACGTTTTTAGAGAATTTAGTTAATTTCATAAGAAACGAAGGCTTTCAACATTAAAGGGGATGTCTATTACTCAGTTGCTACTGATACACCAATGTAAAACTGGTCTTCAGGAAACGTTTTAATTCTCATCAGGCCCAATGGTGTAAAGTGCAGTCCCCAATCTTTATACACTCTTGCTCTGAGCACTCTTTAGGTCCTGGGAATGACCATTGTCCGAAATGTCGACTTAAATGCAGGGTGGCTCAAAAGTCAGGATACAGGGTTATTTGATTTATTTTTACACTGACATTTAAATATTATGTTTTAATTTATGTTCTATATGTTTTGTTTCGTCCTCTTCCTGTGGGGTCACCGCAAATCCCTCATTACAAAACTCGACCAAGTACTCTGCATGAATTGAAACAACGTAATTGATTAATGTTCAAATATTACTCCTGTAATCTTACAAAAAAAAATCCTACATTTATTTCGAAACAGAATTCATGCGTGCATTAACGTTAATGGAAGTCAGTTTGAACATTTGTTAAAATAAATTAAGTTACCCTATGTGATTTGTTAAAATAAATATCACCCTGTATATTTCATTTCAGGCAGTGTTATTGGCTGTTTATTTTTTTGTAAACGTTTAGCAGTTTCGTTTATAAAGGGTAGCACTCAAACACGTTACAGAAACCAACGAAAATGTAACTGAAAAATTATGATTTTCTATCAATATTATACATTCAGCATTGTGAATCCACTGTTGAAAGGAGCGCCCACGTGCCGATGACGGGTTTGTTTGACGAGTCACTTGAAACGATGAATCACGTGGATTAAAAAAAATGCTAGAAAGGCGTTACAAACAATGATCTGTTCGTCATGTGCATGTTCGCTTAACACATGACATACTTCGTAAGCAATTTTCAAAAGAGAGACCAATGTGTGG